GCCGCAGGGCTCCACGCCCGCCTCGCGGGCCGGACCTCCGCGCCCCCCCGCCGCAGGCCACCTCCTGGCGAGAAGGTCTAAGACCCGGGCGGGCACTTGGAGGCGGGACTGCCGGGTCAGAGTGCACGCAGGCTGTCACCGTTGGGCCCTGGGCTGGGAACCGGACCTTTCTCTAGTGTGACAGGATGAGGGAACACGAGGTGCGGGCTTGTGAGGGACAAGCTCGGGGTGTGGCCACGCGGCCCTCACAGCAGAGCCGAATGGTCTACTGGAGGAGAAAGCCATAAGGAAGGACCTGGCAGTCGGGGTTGAGGAGAGGAAGCTCAGGGCCAAGGTCGGGATGTGGTCAGGGAAGGCGTAGCAAAGCGATGGCTTCCGCAGAGCAGCCCTGTGCTCCCGGGACTGAGGCTGAGCTGGGCACCGCCGCACTATGCATGCTGACAGGTCACCACCAAGTCAGTGTCAGGATGGACACAGGTGTAAATCTGACCCCAAAGCAGTAGTTCCCAGGGAGGTGTTTGTTGTCTCCAAATCTTCTCCAGGTTAGTACCTGTTCTTTACCTGTCCAGGCCCATGCTTATACAGCTTGAGAGGCTGGCCCCTCTTCCTCTCCCCTCCCCCCTTCCCTGTCCCTTTCTCTCCTACTCCCCCCCCCTTTCCTCCTTTGCTTTAGGGGAACAGATCTGAGGATGAACCCAGGGCCTTTCCCATGCTGAGTCTACCCTACCACTGAGCTACACCCTAGCCCAGCTTTTGGGTGGAAAGATGTCTGGAAAGGTTCTCTAGTCCCCATTATCCTGATTGAGCATAATGAGAGCTTGTTCTCTGTGTGCTGGTGCTTCACCTCTTGGAGTGCGTGGACCCTGCCTGACAGAGATCTGTTGTGGATGCAGGAAGACAGAGAAGGACTTCCTCTCCCTCAGACCTATCCTGCCTGGTAGTTGCAGAAATAACAGCTCTTTTGCATCAAAAGTTCAGTCTTTGCTGTTTGATTTATTCTTTTTTCTGACCACCCACTCTGTTCCCACTCAGGGTATTTTCCCTTGAGTTCCTTCTTTCCTTGCATGGGTACAGCCACCACCTTTACCTCCTGAAGTTCCTGCTCATGTCTTCTCACAAAGGAGGCCTTCCCTGGGTGCCACAGCCTAGAATGCCCCAGTCAACTCTTCCCATGCCGCACTTAGTGCTTGCTACCTACAGGATTAGCTTAGGAGGCACCCGATGGAGCATTCGTTGCCAGCACTTGACCATGAGGCTCTCGAGAGTTGTATTTCACAATTCCTTGTTTTTGCAGCATCTGCAGAGCTCAGCAAAAATCCTGGCTATGGATTAAGCATGTAAAGGGGCCTTAACAGATGAGAAGCGATATTTTACAGCCATGCTGATATTACTGATGGTAGTAGTAACAAGTACCTGTGGCTGTCTTTCTGTGTGGAGGACTTGGTGGGTGTGATTCAGTAAATCTTTAAACTGTCCTAGAGGTAGGCCATTCCCCTTTAGGACTGAGGAGCCTGGGGCCCAAAATCTCGTTATTTATCACAGGTCACTTATCTTTTCTTCCCAGTTGCAGTACTTTTTGTTGTGGGCTGCTGAAGGTAGCAGCTGGGATTGGCCACCCCCGAGTCCCTCAGCAGCACTGCCCCTCAGGGGGTTCCCACACCTGGTGCTAGGGAGTCCTGTGACTGCACAGCTTACAATTCCACTGTCAGGGTGACAGCATGTGCTGTCTGGTAAAGTGGTGGCTTTCTCCAGGCTCTACAGTGGCTGGTTAGAGAGGAGTTCCAGGCTCCTGCCGAGAGTGGTGATGACATGTTGTTTTGTGTCCCAGAGTGGACCAGTTTTTCCCAGAGCGCTCACCTCAGCCGTGTCATCGCAGCTCTGTCCCTCCTTGTGTTGGCTAGGACAGTGGCCGGGCAAAGCAGGAAATGGTATGCGTGCTGCAGTCCAGGGCAGGGCCTGGAGCGTGCTTTCATTGTGGGTGTCGGCAGTCTTTGCTCTGTGAGTGGCCTGTGTCACAGGGGCCCCCTTTCCTTTGACTCTGGGGTGCCGTTTCTAGCAGTGCTGCTGCTGCATTAGCAGTGTTGCAGGCAAGGCTGAGTGCTAACAGAGCCATCCTCGGTCACCGAGGTCTTTCAGAGGTGTGCCCTGACCAGGCCCTCCTCCCTGTGCATGTATCCTTTCATGCCCTTAGCCCTCTGCGGGTCATGTCCTTGAGCTAGGAGCAGGGTGAGTGCAGAGTAGGTTTGAGGGCCATGTGCCCCCACTCCCACCAGTGGTCCACCTCTACCTGGGTCTGTCCTGCCCTATGCCATCCGCTCGCTACTCCCTGAGAGCTGTCTCTGCACAGCAATTCCCGCTCTTCTCCGAGTGTTGGTCTTGGTGGGTGGTGGAGAGCCAAGCTATTACCCTCCTAAGAATCTGAACAGCGCCTGCTGGGGAGGGAGGCCTGGCCCGCGTGTGCAAGAGCCAAGGGGCAGACCACCCCTGCGCCTCGGGAGGCTGGAGGACACGGCCAGCTTGTGTCCTTATCATCGGGCTTGGCCCAGAGGATTTCCTGCGTGTGGGGTTAGAGCGCTGTTTGCTCTCTCCCACTCCACCATTTGAGACACAGTTCCACTTCGGGCTTTTCTTTGGTAGTTTTTAGTGGCAGTAAAGAGTTTCACAGACTTTCCTGCCCGGGCTGGCTTCGAACTGCGGTCCTCAGATCTCAGCCTCCTGAGTAGCTAGCATGACAGGTGTGAGCCACCAGTGCCCGGCTCGCCCTTTCTTTGTTTCGTTTTTTTGTTTTTTTCCTGGAAATGCCCTGCCAGTTTGCGCCTGCCCTGGAATCTGCTCTGCTTTCTGTCAGCTTCAGGTGGGCTTGAGAGACAGTACCGGGTGGGAGGAAGGCTGGGAATACTCAGGTGTGAGCTGGAGCTGGGCTCTTCCGTGCCTCTGCCTGACCTTCACTCACCCACGGGGAGAGAAGAGGAGAGAGGGCCTGGATGAGGTTGTGTGAGTATTGGTTACAATGTCTCCTTCCTGCCTGCAGCAGGTCAATGGCCAGCAAGGAGGGGGGTCGGAGCCAGCAGCAGCGGCGGCAGTGGTGGCAGCAGGAGACAAATGGAAACCTCCGCAGGTACTGACCTTGTGCACCCTCCTCAGACCCACCTGTCTGCCTGCCTGCATTTGTGTCCTGGGCCCACAACGGCCTGGGCCCGGGGCAGGTGAGGAGTTCAGGGTGCTTCTGTGCCTTTGGGCAGAGACTGCCTACAAGACTGCCGGCCTTGCCTGCTCCAGCCCAGCCTTTCCCCTGCGAATGCATCTGCTCTGGGCCAGACCTGGCAGTGGGTTGGCCACTTGGGGGCACTGGAGACCTCAGCTGTGCTCTATTTTAGCCAAATGAGCACTACACAGAACCAAGTGGGACCCATTGTGTTTAGAGGCAGAAGGGGCCATTTCTATTCTGTTTTAGTTCAGAGCAGAGACCGTGGGAGTCTAAACATAGGTGTGGTGGACTCAGCCCCCTCCTTTTCTTCACGCCAGCCTCGGGGTGGGTGCCCACGGGTCAAGTCCTCCCCTGCCTGCCGCCTGTGGGAGTGGCTCCTCTGGGCCGGGGCCTGGGCTGTTGTTGCTGGGCAGTCGGTTCTGTGGCGTTTCTGAGGCAGTGCACATTTCCACAGAGTCCCAGCAGGCTTCAAGGATGTGGCTAGGGCTTACCTCTTGGGGTAAGCCCTCCTCCTGGTCCCCAGACACCCTGGGGAGGGACAGGAACATGGCACGCAGCTTGTATCCTGGGAAGCTGTGGGGGCTGAAGCTCCCGGCCAGCCAGGGCCTGCCAGACAGCCATTGATGGGAAAAGGGCCTTTTGTTCTCCAAGACAAAGAAGAGATTGAAAGTTTCTAGGGGCCAAGGGGGACAGGCATAGATTGCCATGGTGACAGCTTGCTCTGGCGGTCCGGCCCTCGGGCCCTCTCCCACTGAGGAGGAGCAGGCTTGGGGCCAGCTGGGAGGGCCGAGGATGGCTGCGCCTGCCTGGCCCGCAGGGCCCTGAGGGCACACGTGGGCCTCCGATTTGAGGGGAGGACTTGTAAAGTTTTCATCTTTCAACCTGGGCTGGAAACGCAGCACTTGGGCAGACAGAGGGATTCTTGGGGTTTTAGTCAGCTCGTTTCTGCCTGCCTCTTGTTGTAGTTGGGTCTTTGTTCATTACTCTTGTGTTGGGACCTTCCTTTCTCCTCTACCATCCCTCTCAAGAATACATCTGGAAGCCTCAGGCTGGGGTGGTCTTTTTGAGGTCACACACTGGCGCACTGGTGTGTCTTCCCCTCCTCCCCAACCCCATGCTCTGCTGGTTCTGACATGGGGCTTCTCTACCCATTTACATGGCCGAGTTCTGCCTGTAAGCAGCTTGGAACTGGCTTTGACAGATCTACAGCTGCCGTGGTCAGCACCTTCTGTTCTCCTGGTGTCTGCTGTGCTGTCCCCTGAGGCTACCCTTCCCCTGGCTTCCCTCTGTCAGCTGAGTACGCCCAGGGAGGCACTCGGTGGGGGTGGGCTGAGCATCCCCACACAGGCCTTGCGGGGCCTGGGAGCACACCCAGGTTCTCCAGGTGTGCCTGGTGCCTGCCAGCCAGGGATGGGGCGGGCGGCTCCTTGCTCATCCTCACCGTGTGGGCCCTCCGGGAAGCCACATCTGTGCCTTAAAGCCATGAGGCCAGAGTGCTAGATGGCTTGGGACTGAGGACTTTGTTCCTCTTCCTGCCCCGGAGGACACCTGAGGCTGGCTTTCTAGAGCAGTAGATGGAGACGGGGTCAGGCTGGCTGGAGGGGGCCGGATCCCATCCCACCACTTCTGCCTCTCCTGGCTTCTGAGGAGACCATGTGGTCCAGGCTCTGTGAGCACCCTGGGCAGGCCCAGGGCTCTGAGGCACCTGCCTCCGTCTGCCTCTCTCCCGTGGGCCCAGCAGCATCCCGACAGGGGACAGTCCGTGCGTGGTCTGGGGAAAAGGGCCACGTGAGGGAGACCTTGAGTTTGCTGCTGAACACTCCTCTGCTTCCCATCCAGGGCACAGATTCCATCAAGATGGAGAATGGGCAGAGTACAGGCGCCAAGCTGGGGCTGCCTCCCCTGACGCCTGAGCAGCAGGAGGCCCTCCAGAAGGTGAGCGCGCCGCTGGGCGCCGTGGCACGCGGCTCGGCCTGGTCTGCGGGGCTGGCCTCTCCCTGCAGGCCAGACCTCCCAGCGCTTCTCACCACTGTGTCTCACAGGCCAAGAAGTACGCCATGGAGCAGAGCATCAAGAGTGTGCTGGTGAAGCAGACCATCGCGCACCAGCAGCAGCAGCTCACCAACCTGCAGGTGAGTGCCGCCCCCTCCACTCGGCTGCCACCGCCTCGGGTGGCTGTGCTGGAGCTGTCCACCCAGCCTGGGCCGGGAAGCCCTCACTGCCCCTCCCCACCGCCTCGCCATTTCCTCCTCTTCTCTTCTCCTCCTGTGCCTGCAGCTGGCAGCCCCCACAGGTGTTAGGACTCAGACTCGCAAGGCTCATTTTCGGGACCCTCGGGGTCCTCGCTGAGGCACAAGCAGCCCAGCCTCTCCTGTCTGTTGCTCGCTGTGGCCTTCTCCTCCCCCTCCTCCTGCTCCTCTGAAGCGCTGCCCAGTCGTCCTTGTATTCTCCCCCGCGGCCTCTGGGGCTGCCCCACGTCCTTACCCCCCGGGCTGTGCGGCACGGGGGCTGTGTTCCTTCCTGCCCCGAGGTCAGCCCCCACCCCTTCAGTAGTCCAGACCATCTGGGCTGGACCCAGGACCGAGGGCACAGTCTGGGAGTGCCTCCAGTGGCTCTGCTGGAGGCTGGAGGCTGCAATCTCTGGGAAGAGGCCTGTAAAAGACCGACAGGTTCCTGGGCCTTGAGCCTTTCCTTAGCTTTCCCCACCCCACCCCCCAGGCCCAGCCCTGAGATATCAGTACTGTCAGGAGATGTTCCTGGCTGTTCACTGCACTTGCTCGTCCATCCCTTCTCCCTCCCTTCTGCCCTCAACAGCCCTTCTGCGAAGGCTGCGGGCGGGGCACCAGGGGCTCTGAGGCCCCCCCTGGGCAGGTGCTGGCGGCCAGCCAGAGTGGCCGGCCGTGTGGGAAGACAGGCGGGCCTCCCTGGCAGGGCGGGGACTCCGGGCCTTGCCGCTGTCTGCGTGAGGTATTGACGAGAGCGGGAGACTGCTCGGCTCCAACAGACTGAACTCTGTCTTTACTGTCTTTCAGATGGCAGCAGTGACAATGGGCTTTGGAGATCCTCTCTCACCTTTGCAATCGGTCAATAGAAATGCTCACTTCTTCCGGGGCTCATGTCCTTAGTCAGGGCTAGAGGGGGGCAGTGCAGCCCACTGCTGGGGACCTTGCTCCCCTGGCCGGCCCTGCCCGCCAGCTCTGGACGAGCGCAGCAGAGCGCCAGGCATGGCGGGGCCATGGTGTGGGCACCCACCCCGGGACCGCCCCTGGGGAGGCCTCCATCTGCTCTGAGGGCCCGTCTTAAAACTAACCGGCCAGGTAACTGCGGAGGGCAGCCGCGGCAGCCAGCCAGGGAGGGTAGCTGCCAGTGCCGGGCTCTGTGCCCCGCTGCCACACGCAGGGGCACTCTGTGGGCCACCAGCTCTCCGTCTCCAGGCTCTGGGCTCACGGGTTGGGGTCAGGCCTCTGAGGAGAGAGAGGCCCTAACTGGCCCCATCAGATCGTGGAGGGAGGGCGGAGGGATGGGGAGGGGGCAGGGGACCCAAGCAAGCGAGAGAGGGAAGGAAGGACACGCAAAGACTTGGGCCAGGGGCCTGGCTTTTGGCAAGGGGTAGAGGCTCTGTGGCGCTGGCCACCACGAGCAGGGAAGCCTGGGAAAGGTGCCCTCCCTCGCCAGCGGCAGGCTGAGGCGGCCAGTCCCGTCCTAGGGAGACCCTGAGGGGAAGAAGTGGCTCTTTATGTGGGGCCTTCGTGTGGTGGGGACGCCTCTGAGGAAACGGGGCTGCGGGAGGTGTGCCAGGAGAGCCGCGTGCCTGCCTCTCGCCCTGAAAGGAGCACATGGCCCTCTCTGGGGGCCTTGACCTGACAGGCAGCTGTGCTGTCCATCCGGAGAGCCTGCCGGGCGGCGGCAGCCCGGTTCTACCATCAGGGTCCTTGGGCTGAGCCGGAACCTGAGGTCTCTTAGGAGCTGGCTTTGCGGAGGGGCCAGTCCCACTTCAGGGAGCTCCTAGTTTCAGGAAAGCCAGGCCCCAGCCTGGGGAGTCCTGGGGCAGGGCAGATGCCTCACTTGGCTCCACTCCGCTGAGGTTGCTATTGTCTGGAGAAGCAAGCTGGTCTCTGGCCACTGGGACCTTCCTTAGGGAGAGAGGAGTCCTTACTCGTGTGCAGGCAGGGCTCTGGCAGCCCCAGCCTGGCGCCTCTCCTGTGAGGCCTGTCCGCGGGGATGACCTTTGTTACTTACAGTGGCCAGCTCACAGCCAGGGTCCTGCGCCTGCTGGGCCTGTCAGCTCCCCTGCCCTCAGGAGCCCAAAAACGTCTCCGTTGGCTTCTCTGCCATCTCATGATCATGATGTTCCTGGGGGCCAGGCCAGTGGCTCTTGCCTGGGCCAGCTCTGAGGGCCATGGGCAGGGCTGCAGGCAGCTCTCTTTTGGGTAGGGAGTATGGGATGAGGAGAGCGGAGCACCGAGTCCCGCCTGAGTCGGCCCTGCATGAGCAACTGCTCCTCATTCTCCCCAGGAACCCACTGGGCTCCTGAACTCCCCTGGGGTCTCTTCTGGGCAGTGGCTGCTGTCTTCTGCCTCCCTCTTTACTGGCCATACCAATGGGTCCTTTTGGCCTGGACAGCACCTCCTTCCCTTCCCTCTTCTGACATAATACTTGGCTGGGATGGTGGGAGGATCTCCCAGCCCAGCCCAGGGTACTCGGCCCCCAGACTGAAAGGGTGGACTGGGGGGTAGGGCTTCAGCCCTGCCTCCTGACCGCCTGTCAGCTTTGCTGGCACAGTGTGCCTGGGACCTAGGTGGACTGGGGTGTGTCTATGTCCTGCTGTTCGGGTCGGCCTGCCTTCTTCAGGGCGGGGTCCTGTTGACCCCTGCGCCCTGCCTGCAGGGGCCGAACCTACACTCTGCTGCTGTGTGGGGAACCCTCCCCACAGCAGAGCTGGGTGGGTGGACGAGGAGGGGAAAGGGCTGCTGAGCCTCCTGCCCTCCTGACAAGCCAGTGGCTCTCTCTCCTTCTGTCCTGCTGCAGATGGCAGCTCAGCGGCAGCGGGCACTGGCCATCATGTGCCGAGTCTACGTGGGCTCTATCTACTACGAGTTAGGAGAGGACACAATTCGCCAGGCCTTCGCCCCTTTTGGCCCCATCAAGAGCATTGACATGTCCTGGGACTCTGTCACCATGAAGCACAAGGTGAGCAGGCCAGGTCTGTGCTGGCTGCACCAGGCCAGGCCAGGCCAGGCTTCCTCCTTGGACTGTCTCGGCATGACCCTGCTTCCCTTCGTCTAGGGCTTTGCCTTCGTGGAGTATGAAGTCCCAGAGGCGGCTCAGCTGGCTTTGGAGCAGATGAACTCAGTGATGTTGGGTGGCAGAAACATCAAGGTGAGGGCGAGGGAGTCCAGTTTGGGGCTGAGTTGAGGACGTGGAGCGCTCTGTCGAGTTGCCCGCCACGCCAGCGCGCAGAGCGGCTCCACAGACGCCTGCAGTGACCGCCTGGGCTGAGAGTTTGTTTCATCCCGGCGTCTTCACCAGGTGGGCAGGCCCAGCAACATCGGGCAGGCCCAGCCCATCATAGACCAGCTGGCTGAGGAGGCGCGGGCCTTCAACCGCATCTACGTGGCCTCTGTGCACCAGGACCTCTCGGACGACGATATCAAAAGTGTATTTGAGGCTTTTGGAAAGATCAAGTCTTGCACGTTGGCCCGAGACCCCACGACTGGCAAGCATAAGGGCTATGGCTTCATTGGTGAGTTGGGGGCTCCCAAGGGGGGGAGAGGACGGCCTGATGCTAGGGCTGGCCCTCCTCACTGCTGCTCCCGCCCTGCAGAGTATGAGAAGGCCCAGTCGTCCCAGGATGCTGTGTCCTCCATGAACCTCTTTGATCTGGGTGGCCAGTACTTGCGGGTGGGCAAGGCCGTCACCCCCCCCATGCCCCTGCTAACACCTGCCACACCTGGAGGCCTCCCGCCTGCTGCTGCTGTGGCCGCAGCTGCAGCCACAGCCAAGATTACAGCTCAGGTGAGGGCTGTTTGACAGTGGGTGGACCAACTTGCTGCTCTTTTGGGGACTGGCTCTTCATGTGGTCTTGGGTGGAGGTGGCCAGTCTGGGAACTGAGCGTGGGGGTCTTTTGGGTTGCAGGAAGCAGTGGCTGGAGCAGCGGTGCTGGGTACCTTGGCCACGCCTGGACTGGTGTCTCCAGCGCTGACCCTGGCCCAGCCTCTGGGGGCTTTGCCCCAAGCTGTCATGGCTGCCCAGGCTCCAGGAGTCATCACGGGTGAGTGAGTGGACTGGCACCTCTGTTTCTTCACCCTTGCCTCCAGGCTCCGCCTCCAGCTGTTCTCTACTTCCGGCCTCACGCTCACTCGGGTGTGATCCTTTGCACTTGGGGCAGGCCAGCCATGGCTGACCAAAGATCTGTTGCTTTCCAAGAAGAGCTTTTTGGGGGAGGGAAGGGGCGGGGCGAGGGAGTCAGAGAGTGACTGTGGGACCTGGTTTTGCTGCAGGTGTGACCCCAGCCCGTCCTCCCATTCCGGTTACCATCCCCTCTGTGGGAGTGGTGAACCCCATCCTGGCCAGCCCCCCAACGCTGGGTCTCCTGGAGCCCAAGAAGGAGAAGGAAGAGGAGGAGTTGTTTCCAGAGTCGGAACGGCCAGAGATGTTGAGTGAGCAGGAGCACATGAGCATCTCGGGCAGCAGTGCCCGCCACATGGTCATGCAGAAGTTACTCCGGAAGCAGGAGGTAGGTGGCCAGGCCTGTTTCCGGTGCTGAGTGGGAGCTTGGGGGGGGGGGGGGGGGAGGGGAGAGGATGGGAAGGGGATCCGGGCATGCCATAGTGCTCAGCTGGCCTCTCCCCCACAGTCTACAGTCATGGTTCTCCGTAATATGGTGGACCCCAAGGACATTGACGACGACCTGGAAGGGGAGGTGACGGAGGAGTGCGGCAAGTTTGGTGCTGTGAACCGCGTCATCATCTACCAGGAGAAGCAGGGCGAGGAGGAGGACGCCGAGATCATCGTCAAGATCTTTGTGGAGTTTTCCATGGCCTCAGAGACTCACAAGGCCATCCAGGCCCTCAACGGCCGCTGGTTTGCTGGCCGAAAGGTGGTGGCCGAAGTGTATGACCAAGAGCGTTTTGACAACAGCGACCTCTCTGCGTGACCTTGGCCCGTGTCCTGGACTTGTACTTGCCCCTCTTTTCCTCTGGGTTTTATAGTGATAACAGTGGCTTCCCCGGGGCCAGGCGCTCTGCCCACCCAGCCTGTAATGTGCATAAAGGTGCAGCTGCTGCTGGTCCTGAACTTCACAGTTGGTCCCTTACCCAGATTCTGCGCGTGCGCGCCTGTGTGTCTGTCTGTCTGTCTCTCTGCCCATCAGTTCTGGAGGAGGAGGAGGCTGGGGAGGGGTGGGGCCGCGGGGGGCTCTGCCCCAGCCCCGGCGGTGGGCGGCGCCGAGGGTCACACGGGAGTTGTGGGAGGAGTCTGGCTCTGAGGTGTCCGGACGCACTACGCGGGAGACCACATGCGCGTGCGCGCGCGGCGGCTCGGGTCCGGCCAGCCCCCTGGCAGCTGCCCGGCCACTGGTCGGCTCGGGGTGGCCGAGTGGGCGGGGCTGCCCGCTCCTCCGACGCCTGGGCGGGGCCGGGCTTCCCGGCGGGCCGTGCGCACGAGCGCTACGGATCCTCGGAGGTTCCGTGCCGCGGGGCTTTCTGGGTGTTGTAGTTCTGGGCGGCGAGGGCGGGCCTCGGCTTCCCGGCGGGCTGCGCGGTCGGGCTGTAGTCGCGGG